TAATAATAATAATAATAATAAGAAGAAGAAGAAGAAGAAGAAGAAGAAGAAGAAGAAGAAGAAGAAGAAGAAGAAGCTGTAGTGTGACCCATTGAGACACACAGTTTATCCTTTAGTGTGTTCATCTTTACTTTCAAATGTTTATTTCCATAAGCCACTGGTATGCCTTGAGGCCTCTGGCCCCTGCTCCACCACTGATAATGGGCTCTCACTGGGGCTCCTCTTGGATACCCTGTTGTCCAGTGTCATGAAGAAACTGCTGTTTTGGACCTGCAGGTCCAGCTCCTTCACATGCTCCAATAGTTTATAGATTGGACATTGGGGTGGGCCAACTCATAGCTCAGGTTCTGGGCCAGGGCAGTAGCCGAATTCATCAGTTCACTAGGTTTCCCTCATCATCACTACCTGAGTGAACTCGTCAGCACTACCTTAGCTAGCTCCCCCAATGCGGCCTACAGCAAGGAGCAGGGCAATTCTCCTAATCTCGGGCCTTCAGATCTAGGTCCCACTCGCTCATATAGCTAGGGCCAGCTCTAGTGTGCTGCCCAGGCAAAGTGCAGGGCCCTCTCTCCTGATTGTAGTGGGGAGGGGCATATATAAGGAGTGATCAGCTCTCCTGCTCACATGCCTTCAGAGCTAGCTCATGTGCAGCTCTGGCGAAAGGGTCAGTTCTAGTGTGTTGTCTCGGTGGGGAGCAGGGCTCTTTTTCCTGGTTTTATAGCTGGTGCTGAACAGGCCTACTTCTCTCATTCTCCTGCCACAAGTCACAAGGGGCAGAGGGAGGATGGCATCTTTTCCTTGCTCAGGCCACCACATAACAGACAATGAGGGAACAGGGTCAGCTCTCCTACTCTCAAGCCCCTGAGGTTGGCTAACCTGTATCTTCGACCTCAGGGTCAGCTCTAGTATGTTTCTAGGTGAGGTGCACACCTATGGTGAGGAGTGAGCGATCTTTCTTAAGTGCTGGGTGAGCTCTCCTCTGAAGGCCAGGGCCAGGCAACACAGGTCCAGTTAAGGGAAGGGGCTGAGTCAGCACAGCGTGGGTCCAATGACCAATTTTAATACCTTGTGAACCCTCAAAGCCCACCAACAGTGGCATATCTTTTCCAATAAAGCCATGCCTCTTAATGTTTCACAAACATTTTTACCAACTACTAACATCCAAATATGTCAGTTTATAGTGGCCGTTCTCATTCAAACCACCGCAGGGAGTGTCTGCTTCAAATGGGGGGGGGGGTCATGCCTGTGGAAGGCAGTAAAGGGCATCAGATTTAGTGGAACTGTAGTTATAGACAGGTTTGAGCCTCCTGAATTGGTTCTTGGAACCCTACCATGTTCTCTGGAAAGCATGAAGTGTTTTTTTTTTCATTGAAAAAAATTTTCATATGATGTATTTTGATCATGGTTTCCCCTCACCCAAGTACAAGATAATCCTCACCCCGTCCTCAACTCAACTCTATGTCTTTCTTTTTCTCTGAAAAACAAACAAAAACTAACCATAATTTAAAAAGAAAAAACTCACAAGAAAAACAAAGCCAACTTTCCAGTCCCGAAATTTTAATTATTTTTAATTTAGTTTTTATGTGTATGAGTGTTTTGCCTGCATGTATGTATGTGCACCACATGCATGCAATTCTAGTAGAATCCAGAAGATGACAGTAGATCCTATAGAACAAAAGAGTTCCAGGCAGTTGTGAGCTATCTGATGTGGTTCTTAATAGGTTTTCTGTACCTTGAAAATAGATTTCTCTGCCAATGCAGTAAGTCAGATCAAGTTGGATTGAAAAATTGGAATAACAGGTTTATTTGAACAAAGAAACTCAGAGGTAGGTTCTCCAGTCCCAGAGATCAATACTGGAGAAGCCACAAGCCCATACTAAAGCAAGGAACGTATATGGGTTGAAGGCGAGGGGTGGTGACATATCTGCCAGAAGCTGGGATTTTGCCCCAGCATTGTCAATAGCTGAGCACTTTAGGTGGGGACTTAGGATGCTGGCAACTTCGGGGGAGGAAGCTGCAGTAGCCAGCAAAGATTTAGAACTGAGCTTTTTGGTGCATTTTCTTTGTTTGGCAATTCTCTGAGAGGGCAGAGTTTGGAGAGACAGGAATGGGAACGTAGGAGCTGCAGGAATGAGGTTCTGGGATTCAATCAAGGGTCTTCTGGAAGAGCAAGAAGCCCTCTTATTGGCAGAACCACCTCTCCAGTCCCATTTGAGTTTGTAATGTATTTAAATATACATGTCTGAATTTCAAAAGATTATTGAGTGAGTGTGAAATAGTTATGAAGCTTCGCTTTATAAACATCTATTTTCAGTAAAATTCAGCTGAACCCAGAAAATTACATGCACTCAGGCAATCAGCAGAGCAATCAAGATGCTAATTGCATAACTTGGCATGCTATCGTGAATACTTTTGCAATATATACAGGAAGGTATTTCTATAGCAAGCTGCCTTTAATTTGTTTTTCTCAGACTGCCTATACTTCTTTTCTACCTTCCTTTGCTTCCACGAAACTAATAATGTGCTAATCTGCCATCAGAGAAGCTTGCTTTTCCTAGATTTTGAATAAATGAAATCAAGCAGGCCAGCTTTTTTCACTCAGCATAATTGTTCTGTGATGTGTAAATTCATTCCAATATGTCTTTTATACAACATATATGCAAGTCTCCCTACACGTTATGAATATACATGAAATATCAATTGGGAATAAAGGTTCTGAGGGAAGATATTTAGCATGTCGTTCACATCATTCTTGGTGAAGAGTTGATGAGACATTGCTGGTAATATGTGATATTATGATATTACCACTTTCTGACATGCAACCTATTTTAATTTGAAAAGGGCCCAGGGGCAAAGGGATGGTTTCCTTAGGCTGTTGTCTTCTAGCTAAGCAACTATAGGCAAGTTTTTTCATGTCTCTTTTCTTTACCTTTTGTATCTTAAAAAAGGAAGAATATTGATGCTTTGTATGAACATTAAAATAAAATTTTGTGTATAAATAGTTGATCATGGGTTAAAACACACAGTAGATACTCAACAGGGAATGGTTGGTTTCTCTCTTTAATTTCAGGAAAATTTTCCTACTTAAAAAAAGTGCTGTGTCTTTGAGCTTAATTGTAATATCAGAGTGCCATCTGGTGACCATATAGAATGATTACATTATCTCCATTTCTAATCAAATTAAACAATATTTAAAGCCATAATGTGATCTTGGATAGCATTATAAGCGGTGAAAGTGGAGTTGTATTTCATAGCAATTTTGTTGATACCTTCCCTTGCGAGACATCCTTTCTAATCAAGAGGCACAACTTAAGGGAAATGAGAAGAACTTCCTCACTAGTCTGGCCTAGGATGAGCAGGTGGCAGGTTGAGTGCACAAGCAAACAAGCAAATAAGTTGAAGGCTCCACATCCATTTGACTCTGAAGTAGATTTGGGAAGAAGTTGCTATTTTCCCTTGTTGGAAGATCTTCCTTTGGAAAACCTAGCTTGGACAGCTTTGGTCTTGAGTTTAGCTCCAGGGAGGTTTCAAAAGTATGTAGCCCACATGGGAAGTAGAAAAAGACAAAATCTCCTGAGTAAATTTGGAGCATGGGGATCATGGGAGAGGGTTTAGAGAGAGGGGAGAAAGGGAGGGGAGAGGAGAGAAATATATAGCTCAATAAAAACAATAAAAAAGAATATGTTAAGTGCTTTTAAAAAGTATGTAGCCCCAATTACTACCCTAAGAATAGAAGACCCTTCCCAGATCTACCAACCACCCACTGAAACAACTACACCGTCACAGTGCAGCTGATCTCAGGCTCTATGATGCAGGTCCACTGAACTCTGGCCCTTGATTAAGATGTAGCAGTCTTCCTCATCATGAAGGGGTGATTTGGGTCAGAATGTATATCATTAAACTCACCCCTGGGCGACGGATTCGCAAAGCACCTGCCAGCTGTGCTTCCAATTACTATGGAAAATGACTTGATAGATTACCACCCTAGCTATCTCACCAATACCATGAATCAGTCAAGACTAGTCAATTTATTGAATATGAACTTTATTGTGATTTCGTCTGTGTAAGGCAGTGTGGCAAAGGCACTGTAAAAGTTACAAAGACTGCAAAATATGATTGAAAATGAATAAGCTAAAAAAAGGAGCTACAGAATGTATTTTTAAATGAATGCATGCTGAACTAGACTAAGTACTACGACTATGTTTATTTTTCAATATTGCAGAAGCACTGAAATATTGTGGAGGTGGTGTTTGGGAATAGATTTTGAAAGAACTTCATGGAGGAGGTGGAATTTATGCTGGGCCTTAAATAACGACAGAATACTAGAGATGAAGATGAGGGAAAGCACACATAATGACCGATTCACAAGGACATTTTGTAGACATACTGAAAAACAAACCCTTGGGGAGTGGAGCTTTCCAACAGAGGGAAAAGCCAGAGGGTCAGGGTGGGACCCAGACTCTCAAGTTCCCATATAGAGTTTTCAGTACCAATGATATTAGGAAGCACAGGGCAATGGGCTTGTTTGTAAATGTAGCAGCAGCAAGAGGTTTCACATTGTAGTCAGGGACCCCAAACTGTCTGTCCTATTACTGAATGGGTTCCTTCATCTTTTTGGTATGCATGATACTTCACTAGTCCTTACTCTTGCCCACTGACCGTCTGAATGGTAGTTTGTGCGCACCTACATGCGCATGTGTGAGTGTAGGTGTGTGTGGATGGATGGGGGACTGAGGCTTTGTCACCCACTGCAGCTTCTTCTGCTTTTCCCTCTTGTGGCACACAGCTGGCTTCCGCCTTGCTGAAGTTCAAGCCCTTCTCACTGTCTCAGCCTCACTGAACTCCAGCTCTTTATTAAGCACGTAGGAAACTTCCTCAACATGAAGATAAAACACTGTGGGGGAGTGACTTGACTTAGGGCGTGACTACACTTTCCGGTGGTGGTGGTGGTGGTGGTGGTGGTGGTGGTGGTGGTGGTGGTGG